AGAAGGGAGCGATGCCGGGGCGCGCTGGCAAACGCGGGGTTTTACTTTCCGTGGTTTTATGGGCGGACGGGCGGAGCGTGACTGATCCACGGACGGTGCCGGTGCTGCGGGGGCAGGTGCAGCCGCTGTCAGAGGCGCGGGAACGGAGGAACGCGACCGCTTTTGGTTCTGCGGGAGAAAATCGCACCGAAGCGAATCACCTTTGCTTTGTTTCTGTCGAGTCCCCCCAGCCTGAAAAACCAGGCTGTCCTCCAGCCCCTTGGCCGAGGAGGGTCCCTTCTCTGCAGAACTCGCGAGCAGGGCCCGGCAGAGCTGCCTGCTCGCTCTGGCTGGCGGTGGGGCGATGCGCAGAGGGAGCAGCAAGGCAGCCGCATTGCACTTTGCAAAGCTTCTGTTTTCTGGAGGTAAACATCTTAAAATCGTGCACTCCCTGACGGCCGCGCTTCACCAGCGGTACTGCCTGATCGGCACTGTGTGCCTCGGTGGTTACTACCACTATGAAGCTCTGCTCTGAGACAAATGTGTGGTAGGATGTTTGCTGTACAGTCCCTAGAGGGGACTCCTCATTCATTCTTGTCAGGCAATAACAGCAGGGAAGGAGATGATTACCGAACTTTTTCTAATTAGAAATGAAGTAGGCTTGTTGGTATTCAACTGTCTCATGTAATTAAAATATAATACATATTCTGTGTTTGGTAATACTGATAACTTTATCTTCAGAGCTTATAAAGGGGGTTGTGCGTGTATAAATTTTGCTCTATGCATATACATATTTTAATCACTAGGACTCAATGTGGTGTTAAGCAAATCAGGTATTTGTTTATACTACATTAAAATAATATATGTTTGTAGGGCAGTAATAGAGTGACATAAATCTAGTCACTGTTGTCAGAGTAAGTTGGCCAGGTTGGCTTTGTTTTGTCTGGGGTACGGAGATGGAGAGAATTAGAAGGAAAATTTAGCTGACACTGTTGTGGCTGCTTTATTAGACAGGGCTTGCTCCTTCAGGAAATGTAAAAGCCAGCCTTGGGAAGTATTGAGTACTTGGTTAGTAGTCAGTGAATTACAGGAGGAAGCTTGAAGATACAAGGCTGATCTGTTATTATTGAAGGAAATTGTAGTTTGCGCCCTCACCCTCAAACAGGAATCTCTCTAGTAGAGAGTTTTACCACAAAGCACCATTTTCCTTTAATGCATGGAAAGTTTTCTTTTCAGGGAGCTACCCCCCACCTCATGCACACGTGTTTTTTTTTTTTTTTTTTTAAATCACTATCTTGTTCACCTGTTTGCTCTAGTGCTGTCATCAAGACCCTTGTCACCTGATTTTTCAGTCTGCAAAAATAGAAGGCATGGGATGCTCTGGTAAAGGAAGGGAAGGGAGAAACATTTCTGTGAGGGCTGAAAAATGCCTCATCAAAGAGAGAATAAAAATGCCTGCCTACTGTCATGTAGTATTGCCAATATTTCTAGGGTAAGCGCTGGTTTTACAGTGCTCAATAACTGCCCTGAGGAACTTGTCTGTTAGCATTCAGCTTGAGATCAAAGGTTTCAGATCTTGGACATCGGACTTTCCTTTGGGGACAGAATCAAATTTTGCATGATATTTTTTCTTCTATTACCTGGTATTTATTTTTCAAACAGGTGTTTTATAAAGTGGTAATCCAAAATAAGGAATAATTTAAATCCAGTTTAATAGAAGAGGTTGTGATAATAAAAACGATACGTTTTGAGCTCAAAACTCAAAACTGACTTTATAATAATGTCTTCTCTAAAAGCAATCTTTGCTTTCATATTTTGGGTCTTAGTGCATACCACATGCTTATGTGACGTGCACTTGCGTATGAATCAAGCTAGCACTTTGAATATTCAGCTCATGTCTCAAGACAGGTAATAATTACTGAATACAACTCTTCAGACCTTCAAAGTATGTTTCAAATATGAATTGTTGCAGCAATGTAATGAGGGAGTTTAACGCTAGCCACGTTATGGCAGGGGAAGTAGCATCATAAGTTATGATTTACCTAAGGCCAGTGAACTGTTGTGAGAACTAGAATTAATTTCTGGTTCCGGCTCTATTTGAAACAAGCGTAAGAAGAGCAGCAGTACCAATGGAAACTGGTTCCTGAGGATTTGTGTCTCTAGGGTGATCCCTCCCGTGGGTTCTCTGACGTCAAATAAGACTTGACCTTTGTCATTAACCTTTCTCTTCTTGTCTTAGAAGAGTCTCTCCTCTACCAAACCATTTTTTTAAATTGAGAGTGTTGGGAGCTTTTGGACTTCTTCCTGCTGTCAAAATTTAGTGGACTCAAAAGCAATTAGTAGGTAGCTGACAGATGGACATAAGCAAACAGAGAATCCAGTAGTATGGGTATGATACAAGAAGTACATCTTCTTTCTTACTTGAAAGCTTGGTTGTGATCATTTTGGTCTTCCTGGTCACAAATGCAAGTATTAAAAAAAAAAGTATGTATTTAGTGTATATCTATCATAAGTATATGCAAGTATATATTTAGTTACTAGAAAAAAAAACTTATATGGAGTTCTTTGCAGATGTAGTACCCTGGTTATCTTCTGCTATTTTCTAAGATAACCACCCAGGAGCTAGGTAAAATACATCCAGTCAATGCAGGGAGATCTTATGTAATAGAAAGAACTAGGCAGACCTCTCCTATAGCACATCTTCCTCCTAAAAATAAAAAGCAAATGCTTTTGTATTGCTATTAAGTAAACAGCAAATGTGGTTTTTCATGGTGTTCACGCTTTGGATACAAAGGCATTGTATGTAATATGTTGTTCTTGGGTAATCTTTTTCCAGGTGCAACAAACAAGGAAGTAGCTGCCTGTTTCCCTAGTTTTGGTTTAATGACTTCCCAGTATGGACTTACATGAGTTTAGGGTGGGATGTGCTTTTTGATATCTGGGATGTTCCACAACAGAACTCGAGTGCAGTTTCTGACACATGGACATATATATAGCTTCACACCTGCCTAGACTAAATTGCAGCTCTTCTGGGAACACATGATGAAGCTGGGCCTCCACTGAGGGCTGGCCTGCTTCTTACAGTTTGAGAAGTATCTTCCAATACTTTAAAAATAAAAAGCCTGCACAGTAGTAGTGGATGTTTCAATAATGCCCTTATGTTTATGGAGAGTTGGAAATTTCCAGTGTGTATGGGGAGCATTAAAATATAATGATAATTGAGAGAAGCTGTCCCAGACAAAAAGTGGGAGTGCCTCTACTGTGGCTCCTCTAAACAAAAGATTGAAAACTCTGTGCTGAACATTACTGACTTGAAGGGAAATGATCCTCTACAATTTTCTTAATAGGTCTTTGATCACACTGGAAACAGTTGCCTATGGAAAAAGCATTCTTTCAGGAGCTGTGATATTTTGCTGCTATTAGGAAAGCAAAGAGTAAGGAAAAGGGAAAACTAACAGTAGTGAAACCATTGTACATTATCTGTGAAACTACAGCATTTCAGCCATCTGGTGATACTAGGACATACCTTCTTCCTTAATGAAGTTTTGGGAAAAGTCATCTTCCCTTCAGAAGCTTGGAATGTGGTTTCACAATTATGCTATGGATGACCTTTTACTATGCCTGCTGTTGACGACGAAAATAGTCTTGCTTCATCAGGGTGTCACCTCCACCTTCTAATTCAGACGCTACTTCCTGGCATTTTTGTAGTGCCTTTAATTTAAAGGTAATGATTTAATTAAGCTGGAGAACTACCCAGCAAAGTAAATGAGTCTTAGTATCCCACTACAGAAGGGGAAAGAGAGTTGTAGAGTGTCGGCGATTTGCCCGTGGTAATGTAGTTAGTGGCAGAGTCTTGGCTGGTGTTAAGCTGATCCTTGAGGTTCTCCATCCCTGAGACATAGTATGCCATAGGCTTTGGTCTGCTGTTTTTGTCCTGTAAATGTCTGTAACTTGCTAATAACCATATTTGTGTTAATTAGTCTCTCATTACAACACATAGTTGCAAATCAAATACCATTCTTTGAAGATACATACATGCAAATGATTATTGAAAGTTGAAAGTCAAGTTTAAAACTATGTAGTACAAGCTGTAACTGAAGGGTTAGGAAAGGTTCAGCAATAACTCTCAACTGCAAAGACGTTCAAACTCTCAAGTTCAAAGCTAAAACTGCTTCTTTTTACTTGTGAGCTCACATTTGTGATAGTAATATATTATGTCATAGCATGTTTAATACTGAGTGATCTTCATGCAGTCTGAGATCTCATACATGTAACGGGATACAGCGAGCCCCTTATGCCCACTGTAACAAGGCTATGCTCAGTGCTCACGGTTTCAGGGAGGAAACCAGTAAGTGCCAGTGCCACGCTTAATTTTTTGTCTCTTGTTGAGCTCATATCGACCTAAGACTCAGCTGTGGAAGGAGTGTAATGTTGGAAAATACTAGAAAATAATACTGACAGAACGTACTTGAGCCAGCAGTGCCACTAGCTCACGCATGTGAGAATTTCCAAAAGGATGACAATGTTTTGCTTGGACAATAGGTACTTGTTACTGGCTCAATTCAAGTAGTACTGCACTGTGAGTGGAAGCTAGAAGGACTGAACCTCGTGGTCTTCAAGAGCAGGCGATAGAAAGCACTTTGCAGCACAGTGACAAGGACTGTGTAGTAGCTCTCTAACATGGTGTTTTCCCGGGGTGATGGGCTTTATTGCATAGTCAGCAGCTTCCTGTTTGCTGGTTCTTATGCGAGTTGGCAGAGTTTGTTCCTGAGTATTTTACATTTCAAGTGAAGTCTTACTATGTTTAATCATAGTATTTTTCTTCCTTGTGATGTAGGTTTGCCAGATAGTTACTATCTTTGTTATTATGCGCAGGTTTTCCTGTTTGACTCCGAGATCCTCTTTCATGCATGTTGATTAATTTTATCCCCAAAGCATCCAAGTCATCACAGTCAGTGAATGTGGCCTTTATTACATGGAGTTAAGATCCTCATAAATATTGAGTGTGTTCTTAAGGATAATGTGATGATCTTACAAGTCCCTTGATCTCTGAGACTGTCAATATCAGGAGCTGTGTGGAAAAGCTTCTCTGGTCAAAAGTGTGGGGAATTCTGTAATCATTCCTTCAGGACTTTTTCAAATACCATGCCAAGCTGTAAATAGGGTTACATTCCATCAGTTAACTT